TTATTTACAGTTGTTTGACATCACAATTATTAGTCCTAACATGATTAGATTTTTAATTTAAATTTTAAAAAGTTTTATAAAGTTTTAAAAAAGAAAGTTTAAAGTTTAACAAAGAGAAGAACTTTTCTGATGTCTTGTTGTTTAGTTTGGCTGGAATAAAAATCATTCTTAAATTCATTCTTAAAAAATTTATTTTTAAGGTCAAAAGTATTAGCCCCTCTAGGAATAAATTTCTATACACCATCAAAAGTATTTGCATTAGTATTACAGATGCTTATCAGATTTACAGTTGAAGTCAAAATGATTCGTCTTCCTTTTGTTTTGTTTTTTTATTTTTTTAAATAATTCCCAAATGATGTTTAAGCAAGAACATTTTCAAAGTATTTCCACTATTTTATTTTTCCTTCTGAAGAAAGTCTTAGTTTATTTCAACTAAAATAAATGCATGTTTTAAGGTCAAAATTTTAAGCCTTCATAAACAATAGTGGTTATACAGAACAAATCTAATTATGGTTAGTTAATAGTTAACCTAATTAGAGTTCTTCTCAGTCGCTTTGGTGCATTCATGACACTCTTTAGATTTGTGCACATCATAATAGCAGTTTTTCATTCCTTTCAACAAATTGCAAATGCTTTTGGACATGCATCAATTGCTTTCATACAACTCTCTGCTGTTTAATAACATTATCATTTGCTTATGTAATTCTTTGTAAGAGTTAAAATAATCATTTATTCTGGATCCAATTCTTTGCTATAAGGCAATTTTGATAGCCCAAATAAAAAGACAACAAATGGCATTGGCAATAGGCTACAATGACAAGCAATGGTGCACTGATTCACACTGAGTTCTGTATTTTGTATTTTGTTGTTTATTATGCAATGATTAATTGAAAGAGCTCATATACTTGTTTGCAAGTTGTTTTGTTTGAAGGTTAAACTAGCCTTTGTTGCATATTTAAAATGTTTTGATACGGTATATGCATTTTGCAAACAAAATGTGTCATTTTGACCATGAGTGCCGCTGTTCAGGCCTGTGTGTTAACTGTTTCGAAAATGTAGAGTTTCAGTTGATGGCTGCCTCAATGCAATCAAGAAAAACTGTAAAACGAATAGTCCTCATTTCATTACTTGAGTCATTACATACAAAAATGTTGAAATAGTTTTCAAAATCTTTCAAGCAACTTTTTGAATCCTACTTTCCCGGAAAATGTCTTCTAAATTTAACAATTTCATGAATGATTTGCAGACCAGTGTATGTTGTAAGTTCAGTTACAATATGTACTGTGATAGTGTTTACAAGGGAGTTTATGTTGGTTGTAAATAAGGGTGTATTTATTCTTTTGCACAGTGCTGTAAATAAATTAGAATTGCAAAGAGCAGTTGAAGATAGCCTCTCTTTCATTTTTTTTCTTTTTAAAAATGCCCCAAAGGATATTAAACAGAGCAAGGAAATTTTCACAGTACGTTTGATAATATTTTTTCTTCAAGAGAAATTCTTATTTTAATTAAAAAAAACAAAAAAAAAAACATTTTAAGGACAAAACTTTTAGCCCCTTTAAGCTAATTTGTTTTTCGATTGTCTACAGAACAAACCATCGTTATACAACAACTTGCTTAATATCCCTAACCTGCCTAGTTAGCCTAATTAACATTGTTAAGCCTTTAAATGTTACTTTAAGCTTTATAGAAGTGTGTTGAAAATATCTAGTCAAATAATATTTACTGATATCATGGCAAAGCTAAAATGAATCAGTTATAGAGATGAGCTATTAAACTGTTATGTTTAGAACTGTGTTGAAAAAAATCTTCTCTCCATTAAACAGAAATTGGGGAATAAAATAAACGGGGGGGGGGGGGGGGGGGGTATTTTAGTGGGGCTAATAATTCTGACTTCAACAACTGTACATATTCCATGTCTTGTACTAAGATACCTCTCTAAATGCAGTGAAGTTTACCTTTACTGTAGTTTTCAAATGGCTGTGCAAATAGTATATAGTGCTGTCTTGAGCATTTTCAGGAAGTGTCACTAAAATCTGACTTTTTTGCAGGGGAAAAATGTACAGAGTAAACAGTCGTAATAAAAACATGACAAAGCCAATTTGACAATCTTGTTCATAAACAATGGTGTTAGAACTTTTCATCTTGATGACACTGACACTTTCCTTGACATCAATACTTGCTTTCCAGGAATGATCAATCTATTTTGAGCAAGTGAGACGCTCTTGCAGGTTATCAGCTATAGGTTTTGCAGGTTGTTATGATTGTTTTGACAAATGCATTAACTGTTGTACAAATGTTGTTGTAAGAAATGCACCTAAGTGACTGAGAAAAACAGTAAACTAGTTAAGCCTTTAAATTACACTTTAATCTGAATACTATCTTGAAACATATCTTTTAAATATTATGTGCTTTCATTATCACAATGATAAAAGAAATGAGGTATTAGAAATTTGTTATTAAACTATTATATTTAGAAATGTGTTGAAAAAAATCTTTCCGTTAAACAGAAATTGGGGAAAAATATTCATGGGGGCTAATAATTCAGGAGGGCTAAATATTCTGACTTTAACTATATCCCATAAGCAAGTATCTGTATTAGATGTACCTATATCTATGAGTAGCAGGGGGGTTAAAATATATAGGAAAGCAACATGAATGTGTTTGGACTGAATGAGGTGTTTGAGTCTGTTTAAACTCACACACACACACTGGTGCTCTAGTGATGATCATATGTCAGCGTTTACACTCCTGTGATCATGTCTATGGTTGTGTGATCCAGCAGAACGTCAGCACATGGTGCGTGGCCCTGCTCTGCTGGTTCAGCGGGCCGGGATGTGGATGTAGATGTGGACTGAGGCTCATCCAGGCAGAGCCAGGCTTCCTGCTCCTCCTTTGTCACACATTTGGGCTCTTGTGTGTGGATCGGGCTCCAGTGTTCAAGCCTCTTGGCAGGCCTGCACACATAAGGACATCTGGTCTCTCTGTCCCACCTCCTGCTGAAAAGAAAGAGACCGGCCACAGTCAGGATTTTAGATGATATTACAAAAAGGCATTACACTCAATTCAACTGTGGTGACCATTCATAACAACTAGAAAAAGGTTATTGTCAAATACTAAATCTATCTATCTATCTATCTATCTATCTATCTATCTATCTATCTATCTATCTATCTATCTATCTATCTATCTATCTATCTATCTATCTATCTATCTATCTATCTATCTATCTATCTATCTATCTATCTATCTATCTATCTATCTATCTCTCTGTCTGTCTGTCTGTCTGTCTATCGATCATATAAAACCATTGAATATGAAGTCAGTTAAATGTATTTATTTATTTGTTTGTTTGTTTGTGTTTGTTTGTTTTAAACCAGGAATCGGTGTCTTTATTCTGAGTTAGCGGGCAAAGCAAAAATATATTTTACAGATTATTATTTACAGTATATACATTTAGAAGTAAACAAATAGAATGGTAAACAAACATGCAAAAAATAAATAAATAATAATTAAATAAAAATAACTTTTAAATAATAATTTGTATATTTAGTAATATATATATATATATATATATATATATATATATATATATATATATATATCATTCAATTTATTATTCATTTACATCCATTGAATATGAAGTCAGAATCTGATTAAATATACAAAAAACATTTATTTAATTATTATTTTTTTCTATTTCTTTACTTTTAAATTTATTTACTGTAAACAATAATCTGTAAAATATATTTTGCTTCGCCGGCTAACCTAGAGTAAAGACACCGATTCCTGGTTTAAAACCAACAAACAAACAAACAAATAAACAAACAAACAATTACACAAATAAATAAATAAATTGAACTGACTTCATGTTCAATGGATTTATATGACAGACAGACAGACAGACGATAGATAGATAGATAGATAGATAGATAGATAGATAGATAGATAGATAGATAGATAGATAGATAGATAGATAGATAGATAGATAGATAGATAGATAGATAGATAGATAGATAGATAGATAGATAGATAGATAGATAGATAGATAGATAGATCAAATCTTAAAACAGAAATCCTTCATGAACGTATTGATGTTAATCGATGCCGTCAACTTAGTGTTAAATCTTTATTACTAGTTTCGAATTCCGGTAATTAGTCTACTGATGTTCTTGGACAGGTAGACCGCTCGAGTGGATTATCATCGGTTTTCCTGGATAATCATAAGATTAAAGAGGAAAGTGCTCCCACCATCTCCGGGACACACAGCCGCTGACTTCCCCTCTTTTCTTTTGGCAAAATTATTGAGAGCAAGCAATATTAAAGCCATTTTGTTCGTGCGCACTGGGCCAGAATAACGCGATGATTAGGGCCACGAACGGGACAGGTTTCTTCAGCTTGATTTCATGACGGTAATGTAGCCCATGCATTTGGGAGAAGAAAGGCAGAGAAGGGGACATCTGTTCACAGGCCAAAAGCAACCTCATTGGCCTGCGTGGCATCTTGGAAAAGAAAGCAGGATATTACACGCACAAACGTTTTTGTTGTTGTGTTTGACTGATTTATTGATTCGTTTTTTTTTTCTTTCTTTCTGGTTTATTTTTAATTAGATTATAAATAGCATTAAACTTCTTTGGAAAAAAAGAATAGTCATGCATAAAAATCGGCCCAGCGTTGCGTTTCAATTTTTATTTTAAAAGTTTTATTTTAATTTTGAACCACTTTTCAACAGCATCCTTTATTCATCTCTACTTATTCAGCTTTAAAATAAATATATTTAATCTTTGAATTATGTAGGCTATTAGTTTATTTTTGCACATTTTGGCCAGAAGACTACGTGTTTAATCATATTTTATTTAAAAGTCATTATTTTTTTCTTTAACCAGCACTTTTGAAAACCCCCCTGTTGCTGCATGCGCTTGTGATCCTGTGCTCTCGCGCATCTCTCGCGCTGTCTTGTCAGAGGACATGAACACATGTTTTGATTACACCACCGGTGGCCGAGCGGCTCCTCCGTTATTCGTAATTAAACTCAATTCCCAAAGTAACATTTATCTTCCAGGGTCTGCGCGTTCACTGTGCGCGAGAGCCACTGCCTTCTGCTGTGCTAGAGGAGATGCGCGCGGGGTCAATCAATAAACCGAGGACACAGACACGGTATGTGCATCATGCATCTGTTGCAATCAAACAATGCTGCAGTTTATGGGACATTTGTTCGTGTGCGTCTGTGTGTGTGTGTGTGTGTGTGTGTGTGTGTGTGTGACATTTGTATTTTGACATGGGTTGCGCATGCACGTTGAGTTATAGATGGATTTTTTTTGACGTGGAGTTTCACTGCTTCGTTTATTTGACTGTTCTTCTTGAAGACGTGGAATAAAAATGTTTTTAGTGTCTTATATATATTTTACATCCCAATCTCACCATTCAAGTTTCTGGAGAAAATTTTATAAAAAAAAAAGAAATAAGTTATTTTTAACTACTGGATAATTTAAGGCAATTGCTAAACGTGGAATTATTTAATCTTATGTATATTAAGTCTGTAATTTACTTTACAAACTGGTTTCAATCACTGAAAATGTCCACCAAAGAAAACGCAGCTAAAATAATTCCTTTTTGTTTTACTTATTTAATTTTTTAAATTCCGCATTTATAATTCTTATTTTTAATAATATGATTTTCCTCATTCTGTGTTCAATTGCCTCTTGTTCCTCGATTTCTCGATTTAGAAAGGACATAAGCCATGTAAAGGAAACAAGAGAAGTGTTGTTCAAATCGAAGAAACAGAGAAATGAATCTGATCGGCCATCTATCACTTCCAGCAATAAAGGAGGCGACACGGCGGAGGCAGATGATTTGATGAATAATCTTCGGTCGTTTTAATTAACTTTTTGCTGTCCTATAATGACCAAGTTGGTCAACGGAGCCGGTCAATAAGAATGTTAATATCAAACAAATAAAACTTCTCATGATTAAAAACCTCCCGCTTTATTAAATTTGAAATTCAAATGAAATTTATGCCTCCAGTCCACGACGCATGTAAATAGAGTAGCCAGGGCTACATCATTATCCTGAGAGCATTTCTGCATTCATCGTCGTGATATCAATAGCCATCCACTGTATTGCTGTTGAGAGTTTGCAGAACACAAAAGCCATGTTCCACCTTGTAAATACGTTTACACGCATTAGGTGAAATGATTTTTAGTGACCAACTTGAATTAATAGGTTCACTGAGTTAATTTGCTTGAATTTCAACAATATTTATCGGACAATGCCAGTCCTGTCTAAAATAAAGTGAGTGTGTGGAAAGAGGAAAAGAGCAAGTTAGTAATTCTAAACTAAGTTTATATAGAGTCAAGCCGAAATTATATATATATATATATATATATATATACATATATATATATATATATATATATATATATATATATATATATATATATATATGGTTTCTTCCCTCAATGAATATTGCATATGTATTTTAAGCAAATATAAAATCTACATGCGCATTTTGGATTTGTAGCTTAGATTGTAAACTTTTTGTTTTTTGTTATAGTTTTATTAAACGTCTTAATTTATGAAGCATAATTATTATTGTCAAACAATTAAAGACCAGCGGAAGTGGTTTTTAAGGCAAGCTGTTCATTTCATACTCTTTCAAATAAAGCTTATTTGTTTGGCATATGGTTCCATGAAAAGCCCGAAATCCATAAAACATTTCAAATGTACAAAAGTTTCTTTATAGTGGAAAAACTTTATTCAGATTATTAACACACTTTTACCCTAAAAAGAAAATCAGTTTTCAAAATTGTTCTTTTATTGCATTATTACAGGAAATGAAGTGTGGCACAAAACGTTGTTTTAAGTTTAAAAAGTGTTCTCACTATACGCAAAAAAATAGATATTTTAAGAACTGTTTAGGAGTAATTTTAGGAAACAAAAATATTTATTGGGCATATATGCGAAAACCCCATAGGACCATTATTTTAGGACTGCAGCATAAGTGCTAAACTAGTTGACGACAATCTACAACTTGAAAGACAATGACAACAACTTGTAAAAGTGATATGACTTTAAATTGCTATTTTAGCTTCATCACATTCTGTAGTAAACTATATACAATGATTTATTATTATTATTAATAATAATAATAATAATAATAACAACAATAATAATAATAATAATAATAATAATAATAACAACAACAACAACAACAACAATAATAATAATAATCCATAACGGATCAGGGGGTCCAGTAACCTTATTAACCCCTGTACAAAAGAATTGAAAAGTTTTCCCTAAAACTTGCAGTCCTTCTTATTTAAGTTGAGTTTTATTATGAGGGGGGTGTTGGAAGGGGTGGAGATCTTGTCTGAAGTGCTCTATCGATGACCTCACGCTAGAATGTGGCCGCGTGAAGGTACGGCTTCTCCTGATTGGTCGCCCGTGTCACAGCGGCACTTCAAAGCCGTGAGAGGAGCTACAATTGTGCTGGAATGGGCGGACCGCATCATTGTATTGCACACCTCTAAAAAAACAGTGCTCTGATTCATAAATATAAAAAGATCCTCTGAGGAGGGCACTTTTGTGATGGCAACTTCACTTCTAGGGGTGAGTCTAAGGAGTTTCGTGCTGGTTTAATTAGTTTCCTTTATTGTCCTGCAGTGGGGATTAAAATTTCTTTGGTCAGCCGGGGAGAGAGTCACTTGATTATGTTTTAAGCGAGAGAAAGGAGCAGGAGTTGCATTTCTCAACTACGACATTGTATGTATAACACATATTGCTATTTCTATGCTGCGTTTTCGCTTTTGTGTTGCGTGTGCAATTGGCTGTTTCAGTTGACTGTTCTTCGCTACCATTCTTCAGGTGTGTTGGTTAAAAGAGTAAACCGTTAAAACTGTTCTTTTAATTCCCCCAGTTCCCCGAAACAAAGTCTGAACTTACCTTCTAACTGCTTTTTTGTTGGTGTTGTTGTTTCAGGAGGAGCCGAGATTGGGGTCGACTCCTTTAGCCATGTTGGCTGCGACGTGTAACAAAATCGGGAGCCCGAGTCCTTCTCCTTCCTCGATTTCGGATAATTCATCTTCGTTCGGAAAAGGATTCCACCCGTGGAAACGAGCGACAGCCAGCAGCTGTAGTTTAGGATCCAGTTTATCCTCTTTCACTCGGAATGGTGGTGGTTTAAGCGACTCTTTTGGCACGAACACTTCTACGGGATCAAGTGCCTTTTCCTTAACTTCTGGTACTTCGTCCAACTCCCACTTCGGAAACGACTACTCCGTTTTCCAGACTTCTGTGTCAAATAACTCCCAAGAGCCAAGCCACCAACCCATGTTTATTTCAAAAGTGCACACATCCGTGGACAGTTTGCAGAGCATTTACCCGAGAATGAGCGTGGCGCATCCCTACGAGTCGTGGTTCAAGTCCTCACACCCTGGCATACCCACGGGGGATGTGGGCACCACGGGCGCGTCCGCGTGGTGGGACGTGGGAGCCGGTTGGATTGATGTGCAGAACCCGAATGGAGCTGCGCTCCAGACGTCCCTACACTCCGGTGGGCTGCAAACTTCTTTACACTCTCCTCTGGGCGGATACAACTCAGACTACTCGAGTTTAAGCCACTCTGCCTTCAGTACCAGCGCGTCCCCGCATCTCCTCACCACCGGGCAGCACCTCATGGACGGATTCAAACCGGTTCTCTCGTCTTACCCGGACTCCAGTCCTTCTCCTCTGGGTGGAGCGGGTGGTTCCATGTTGACAGGGGGTCCGACGGCCTCTTTGGCGGGGTCCCCGCGGTCTTCCGCGCGGCGCTACTCGGGCAGAGCGACGTGCGACTGTCCGAACTGTCAAGAAGCTGAGCGGCTGGGTCCGGCCGGCGCAAGCCTCCGCAGAAAGGGGCTGCACAGCTGTCACATCCCTGGCTGTGGGAAAGTGTACGGCAAAACGTCTCACCTCAAGGCTCATTTGAGGTGGCACACCGGGGAAAGGCCGTTTGTGTGTAACTGGTTATTCTGTGGAAAGAGGTTCACGCGCTCCGACGAGCTCCAGCGACATTTACGCACGCACACTGGCGAGAAGCGCTTCGCTTGTCCCGTGTGCAACAAGCGCTTCATGCGGAGTGACCACCTCAGTAAACATGTCAAAACGCACAGTGCTGGGGGCTCGTCAGGGTCGGGGTCTGGGGCGAGTGGAGGGAAACGAGGGAGTGACACCGACAGCGAGCACAGTGTGCCCGGTAGCCCCTCATGCCATTCGCCTGACCTGTTGCAAGCCCCCGAGTCTGTCCCGACCACTGGAATGAACGGCCGTGCAAGCTCCCTCGATTAATCCCGCTCTAAATGCCAAGCTCGAATGGACTAGTAACGTATTTGACGCCTCAGAAAATGTACTGTTCGCTCGGAAACACTTTCTAAAAACTTTCAAGTTAACAAAAAATCTAAAATGTTTTGCAAGTTTCCGATTAATGCACATTCAAATATGAATAACCTACATGAAACAACATGAACCAAAGTTTCATTTCTTTTTAACTAGTTGAATGTACATTAATGAATGTTAATTAGGCCTATATTTTTTTTGTTAACAGTTAAAGTTATTATAAAGTGTCACCTGAGAAGGAACCGTGTGGCCATTTCACGTGGATGTTGTAAAGTGATTCAGTTTACAATTAAAATGTAATTACATTGAAGTAAGACTGTTTTGGTTTGCACAGATTCTGTGACACGAATTTGGTAAATTAGGGAAATATTGAAATGCACATAGTCTGATATGTGCATTCTGGTGGGTATTTGACGAACAATTTTATTTTATTTAGGCTACTTACTGTTGTTATGAAACCGAATGAGAGAGAGAGAAATTTGTATTTTACCCATCGGTGAAGTGGCCTGTCATTGCTAACTTTTTTCTTTCTCAAAACCAAACTGTGGCACTTTATTCACAAACACTGCTAAAATCCAATTCCTTAAGGATACATTGCCGTAGTGTTTAATATACCTTTTTTGTCATTTTCACGTTCATTTCTTTAATATTCGAAAAATAGTATCTATATCGCACATTGGTCTTTGTCAAAACTACAGACTACGAATTCTAAGTTTGTATGACATGTACTTATTTCCTGTTGCTGCAAAAGAATGTACATATTGAACATAAAATAGATTAGAATAGAAGGTTATTCCACACTGATGTAAAAGTTGGGTATGTATTTGTTAAAGACGCAAATTTTTTGAATAGTATTTTAGTTGCATATATTGACTGTAGTAAATATCCAAAACTGTACGGGGGTGTTTATTTTTTATTTTTATTTTATTTTATTTTTTTGTTTTGGTTGGGTTTTTTGTGTAGAAATACGTCATATTTATCCACGAGTTGGACTTGATTTTTGGAGGTCTGTTAAAGACGCACTTTGAAATGATTTGTATGATTTTTTAAATTCAGAATTCAGTGTTTCACCACGTTTTCTAATTTATGTAAGCATGCACATGTACGGTGAGCGTTATTTTCACATCGTTCATTTAAGAAATTGGCTTTCTAAGTAAAGCCACTCAATAAAGTCAACATGGATTCAGTCACAGTGAACGATTTGCCGTCCTACTTCTTTAAAATAAAATGTGATCTGTAGTGCAGGACCTGTTACGACATTGCATTACCTTTTGAAGAACAAAATAAAAATGTTAACATGTTAAAATCTGCAGTTGTTGTCAAAGCCACAAATTGAAGCAGCTTTGGTAAATTAAAGTTTATTATTTGCTAAATTTTGAAAAAAAAAAAAAAACTTATTTTAGTCTAATTGATTAAGTTACACATTCTTTTAGTAATAAAAATATAGACACAATGTCTGCAGTCTTTTTTCAAATCTTTGTTAAAATAAAAATAAATAAAAAACTGTAACGTAAAATTATCCAGTCATTTAAAAAATTAATTATGTGCGATAATGTTGAATTTAGATTTCTGTACTTGCTTTACGAAATGTTTAATTTTCAAAATTAATAAAGAGTTCAAATTGCCTAAATTTTAGACCATGCTAAAAATTGTACGTCATTAATTTCTCACTAAAACAATTACGTTAAATGATAGGCTGTTTTTTTTCCGTGTTTGTCTTTAGAAAATCTGAAACGCATCTGAGCGCACACACTAAAGAAATTAGCTGATTATTTTAACCCAAATTGGGTAAAATATATGGACTAAATCAAACATTGGGTTAAACTTGGTCTTATTCATTTAATATGTAAAGTAACCCAGCAGTTGGTTTAGTCCATATAGTACACATAGAATTGGATTAAAATGATCCAGCAATTTTTAAGTGTAACTTTTGTAGAGAATTTTAAAATATATAATATAAAATATATGTTAAAGTGTAAACCGTCCCAACAAAATTACACAACCAAAATGTAAAAAAAAAAAAAAAGGTTGACTGATCCACCAAGAGTTTTGGACTGAAACTAACTTTATTTAACATAAGCAAACGTTTTTGGAGAAGAAACGATATCACAGAATAATCAATAATTTTTAATATAAATTGAAAAAGCCTTTTAACAGTGAACATTATATAACAATATATCACAAAAGAATAATACGGCTGATGTAGCACATACAATCTGAAAGAAAGTTAAAATCAGTGCAGGAGAGAGAAAAAAGTTCGAACATGTTGGAGGCTCAAAGCACGCGCACATTGCGCCCCCGTGCGATGAGGTCATGAAAACAAAACACTTTAAGCAATATTCACATTCAACGGGTTTATACTTGCTGTACAAACTCATACATTCTGTAAAACATTAAGTAGAAGGGTGCAATTATTTAAGATCTATAGAGGGGAAACGTGTTCCAAGTGTACATTTTTTAATGGGCAATAAAATAACATTAAATTTACAATACATATGACAAAATAAATCTTTACATATACAGCATCTTTTCATAAAAGAATAGTGTCTTTTTCACAGAGCCATATTAAAGTAGGTGCACAAACAAACAATAGCTTATCCCAGATTTACATTTATTTGTGCAGTTTCTCCTATTAATATCCAAGCTGGATATAAGAGAAAAATAAATCTCTGCATAAATAGTCTTTCCTTATAAGAACAATATTTATTCACATAGCTGTAACAAACTGTACATAAAAACAAATAACTTTTTTCTTCTCTCTCTCTCACGCACGCACGCACACTGGTTTATCCTATTAGTACGTTTTCAAAACACATTTAAATTTTTCAAAACTATCAAAAGTTTCTTACAACAGACTCAAAACTTTTAGTACCTGTAATTTCACTGTAATTTTAAATAGTAACTGCACCACGTTTTAGTTACTTAGCCCTTCATTTGCAATATGTAAATGGTATTTAATGTTCATGTTAGTGAGCAGACACTTGTGCGTTCACCAGAGCAAAATAGGCCTCTTGTTTGGCCATGAGTTGTGCATGTGTTCCCTGCTCCACCACCTTGCCGTTCTGAACCACCACAATAATGTCTGCATTCTGAATGGTGGTCAAGCGGTGGGCAATGACGATACATGTACGGCCAAGCCGAGCCTCATCTAAAGCCGCCTGCACGATCTGTATAAAAATAAAAAAAAAAGAGGACAAAATATTAAACTTATGCATAAAAAAAAGGAGACACATAATGGATGGGAAGTTTGTAATGGAATAATTAAATTTCATGACTCTTCTTTAGCTTTCTTTTCTACATGTGTTCACAACAAGAAGTCTACTTCAATTTCTTATATCTACAGTTTTTTTTACAATTACAGTGCATATTAGCTTAATCAATAAGATGCACAACCACATATAAATGTAAACATAAACTGAGATAATTTTATCTTTGTTAAAATAAATAAAACCGAGACACAAAATAATTCAGAGTAATTACGCTTGAGATATGTGCAATCCTGTTTATATCCTGTATTTGTATACTTTAAATTCAGAGAAAATAGTCAGGATAATGAGATTAATCACATAATTAATTCCACTGATTATTATTATTTTTTTATGAGTGCAAGTTTATTTGTTGCAATTTCAAATGTATAATTTATTTTTTTTTTTTACATTTCTGAGTTTGTTTTTCAAATATCTGGCAGTTTTGTAAATCAGAAGGAAAAGAACCTCACGGGTATCTTGCAATTTCTTGCATTTGAAAATTTTAGGCAATTTTGTTATTCTGAATTATTTCCTCACAATCTTGACTTTATAAGTTAAAATTCAGACATTTGTGTTTGCAGTTCTGGTGATAAAATTGTGATTAGAAAAGTTTCACAGAACTTTCATTTGTCCGTTTGTGACTTGTGAAAAAGAAGACAATATCTTGTTTGTTTATTTATTTATTTACTTATTTAACTTCTTATTTAATAATGCATTTATTTATCTTTTTTTAGTGTTTTATTTTGTATCCATGATTTTTAAGATATTCCCTAACCATCAGGATTACACATATAGACACATTATGTACAGTTAAAGTCAGAAATATTTTATATTATTTCCACTACTTACTGTTTAACAAAGAGATTATTATTATATCAACACAATTCAAAACTAATTTCTAGTAACTGGTTTATTATATCTTTGACATAATGACAGTGCACAATATTTTACTAGATGATTTGCAAGATATTATTTTGCTTATCATTTAAAGGTTTAACTGTTAATTAGGTTAACTAGCCAAGTTGGAGCAGTTAGGCAAGTCATTCTATAACAATGGTTTCCTCTGCAGTTGATTTCAAAAATATTGCTTAAGGGGGGTAATAATATTGACCTTAAAATAGTTAAAAAAATAAAAAAAACTTTTTTTTCATAGCCGAAATAAACAGGAAGAAATAATAATATTAATAATAATCATTAATAATATTGATTTCTACTATACTTTAAAAAAATCCACAGTGCCACCCGCTGGTTGAAGACAGAAACGATTGTTCATCCTTACGGCAAGTTAACTTGAATCAGACTCACTTTATAAAGACGTACTATTAAGCAGATTTTTACGTACCTTCTCGCTCTCTGTGTCCAGAGCTGACGTGGCCTCGTCGAGCAGCAAGAGTTTGGGTTTTCGGACCAGAGCTCGAGCGATGGCGATCCTTTGCTTCTGTCCTCCAGACAGCTGAGTGCCTTTATCTCCAACACGAGTGTTATATTTCTAAAGACATGAGCAACACTGGTCACTAACAAGGCACGTTATTTTGGTAAAGTGTAACCCTTTAGCTATTAATATTTATTCATAAACTTTCCATTAGTATTAACTGCTTTAAAAACTACTTAATATTGTGTGCGTGCGTGTGTGTGTGTGTGTGCGCGCGCGCGCGTATGTGAATTTATATTGGAAGTAAAGACTATCCAAACTATTATATTATGTTTAAAGGTAATTGAAAAAAAATATATAAATTTGGTCTTTAGTTAATCTCTATAATTAAGTTTACATTACTTCAGGTTTAAGAATGAATAAAACTTATTTTGATTTCAAAATGTTAAATTTAACAATAATTGGGATTAAAAGTAATTTTACAAAATCACTGTAAAGCCCAGTCAACTTTTTTCAAATAAGTAGAATTAACTTTTAGTAATTCATTTGATTTGGTAGAGTTTTGAACTCAGTGTTAAAGGTAATAAGTTAATTAAATACCTAATTATCCCTTATTGGGTTTTACAATGCTCAAATTGCTTCATTTATTTATATGGATTAAGTTCACAGTACTCATTCGGGTTAGTTTTGGAACTTAAATGGTTTGTTTCAGTCGGTTTCATCAAATGGTTTGAGTTACCTTAAATCATTGGGTTTTACAGTGTGCTTTATTTCAGCAATGATGCCAAAAAACATCTATAAAATGTTGCAAATAGCAATGGAAAAAATTGTTATTTTAAGTGCTCTGTTTATGAAAAGAAATATAATTCAGCATATAAATGTTTTTGCTAATTAAATATGCAATATATTTTTCAATATTAAATATATTTTCAAAGAAATAATTCAGCTTTAAAATATCACAGAATTTATTTTAATGGAGGTTTTATATTTGAAAATACCCAATTTAAATTATTAATAATATTAGCAATATAACTAATATTACTAATTTGATCAACTATTTGCAAAGATATATACACCCAAACACAATACAAATCACACTCACAGACTTGTTCCTATATTCCAGTGGGGACTCACAGATAATAGACTATGTTCTGTTATACAAATTGTACACCTTACGCCTAAGCCCAACCCTCACGTAAAACAATCTGCATTCTTACATTTTCAAAAACTTGCGTTTTATTAGCACGTTTACTTGTGGAAACCTCAAGTTCTGTCCCCATGAGTCTGTGTATGTTCAAGACCCCATCGGCATATAAAACTACTGCACACACAAATATGATTAGAGATATCACACATACATCTGGAAGGGTGAGAATAAAGTTGTGTATGTTGGCCTTCTTCGCAGCCTCCTCAATCTCTTCCTGTGTGACTGTCCGACTGTTGTCTCCGTACTGGATGTTCTCAGAGATGGTGCAGTCGAACAGGATTGGCTCCTGAGACACCAGCCCCATCTGTGTGCGCAGCCATGCCAGATTCACACTCTTGCTGTCACGACCGTCTACAAGCTAAACAATAAGCAAAAATCAGATACAACATTAGGCGTAAATTGATCCCTTGAGCCCTAATAATGGTTTACAGCTGATGGACTCACCACTTGGCCTCCGGCAGGGTCGTAGAAACGCTCCA